CTTGATAAATTATTATTAACTATTTTGTATAATTCTAATTAAGTGCCAAATACGTTACAGTTAGAAAAAAGTTCTTTCAAGAATTCAGTACTTCTTCGTAGCGTAAACTTACTCAGAAAATGCCAGCAGGTTTGTCGGAATCGGCCTCAGGAAAAGGTAGTATACATAATAACGTATTTCCAGCAGGAACGCGACCATTTTTGCTTCTTACTGCTGTGAGGCATGTAAGTAGATTACCTATTTTCCGTTTCGTTTGACAGAAAAGACCTATCTATTTTTACCTGGTATGCGCGCGCAACATGAGGCAAGTATTTTTATTAGCTAACTAGTACAGGTGTGAATTCTTCGTTTTGCACGCTGGACATCTCCTTGTCCTTGTTCATTGCTAGTGGTCTGACAAAAATAAAAGTACGGTTGATATTCAACTTGACATAGCTTGACAAGTGACACTCAAAAGTATTTTGAAATTTTCATTGATAAATACGTTGCAAAACACGCGGTTTTTCTTCTTCTCTTTTTATCCCGTGCAAATAAGGAGGATGTATTGCCATACGTAAGTTTAACAAAATTTGGTACATTTTGCCTCGTCTTGTGCAATGAGCGTTGTGTCTTTTTTTATCTAATGAAGTTTTCGTATTATTACCTCTTTGGTTGGTAAAATAGAAAGGTCTACTGTCACGTGACATTCTGATAAATTATAAAAAAAAAATAGGCATTGACAACATTGTCTCTTTTTGTTCTATGACGTCATCCTAAATATAACGTAAAAAACCTATATGTGCGAATCTTTTTTTCCATTATAACTTAAAAATTTACAACTTGCCGCAACCCAAAACAACAACAAAACAAATAACGGTGGAAAATGTGGAAATCAACCAAATTAAATACAATGAAGTAAAATATAACGTTTGACGACAAGGTGACGCAAAATACATACAAAATCATACTACGTGACGTCATCTAGATTCGCGCGCATTTAAGGTCGTTTGAAATGCTTTTAATACGCGCGAAACTTTAAACATTTTTCACCAAGTTATTATTGAGTTTTAGGGAATAATATTTGGGGAATACTCTTTCAAGGCATAAATAAATTATTTGAAAAAAATAAATAAAAATTAGTTGGGTGCTTAATGTATCTTATGTAGGCTACAAGGCCTGATCTGAGTGCATCTGTAAATTTTTGTAGCAGATATCAGTGCACACCAACTGAACAGCTTTAGAAAAATCTTAAACAAGGGAACCATAAATTTAGAACTTTGTTTTTCTCTGAATGATGTTGATTTAAGTTGGACACGCAGACGCCGATTGGGCAGATGACGAATCTGATAGTGGATATTTATTTAAAGTAGGTATTTGGTGGTACAGTCTGCTGGTCTACGAAAAAACAAGCAACTGTAGCTTCTTCTTCTACTGAAGCAGAGTATGTTTGCATTGTCTGAGGCAGCAAAGTAAGGGATTTGGTTGTCGAATCTGCAAAAACTAAACTAAACTAACTTAAAAAAAAACTAAAAACTAACTTTACTATATTTGAAGATAACCAGTCCTGCATAAAGTTAACGAAAAGGTTTGATCATATAGGAGGTTGAAACATGTCGATGTTAAATTTAATTTTATCAAAGACTTAGTAAGTGAAGGAACAGTTGTTGTTGAGTACATATCAACTAAAGAACAGATTGCTGATATTTTGACGCAAAATCGTTCAGGTGATTTGTTCAGAAAACATAAATTAGGTTTAGATTTGCTATGTAATTAGAATTTAAGTATGTATTTTGCTTCATTTGAGAAATCTTATTTTCGTTTCATTTGTGAAAGTATTTGGATTGAAAAGGAGTGTTAAAATAACAATCCAAATATTTGTATTTTGATATAGGGTTAGGTAGCAGTGTAAACGCAGCTTTAGTTTAGTTGACAGTTTTGACGTAATGTCAAGAATATTGTTGTGGTTATGATTGGCCTTGTTCTGTTGTTGTTGTGTGGCACGTTTTGCTAAAGAATAAAAATTACTTCTGGAAATTACTTTAATTATTTATTTGTAAGTTATTTAGGCCGCGGGGTTATCCAATTCCTTAATTCTTAATTTTTGTTCTTAATTCTTAATCCTTAAAAACACCAATGTTAAATAAATTGAACTTTTTAAGAATTAAGAATTAAGGACAAATATTAGGAATTAAGGAATTGGGTAACTCCGGCCTTAGTCTTTCACAAACTTAGTAGCCAGCTTCAGCGCACTCTTTATCTACGGGGAGGAAACACCACGACTTATTCGTTGCTTGGAATACTTATGCAAGAAAAAGGCCCATTCTCTGGGTTCTCTAGCTTTTCTCCAAAGACTCGAAAGTCTTTCCGAAATTCCTGAAGATTCGAAGAATTTTTAATTCCTTCCAATCCAACAGAATTTTCGAACGAGCAGAACGAGCCTTGCTTCGGAAACGGATTCACCAAACCAGGAAAGACCTAGCAGCTATGGGCAAGGATCTTCTATCGATTAACCAAAGGTTATCCAACAGCATACACTGGAGTGACTGGGACAAAATTGACCGAATGACGTATGACGTGATGGAAGCCACACTAGCGAAAACAACCAAGAAACTGGTAGACAAGTTTGAGTCTTTTAACCGAATTTTCGCGACGAACTACTTCCATGATTTCATGAACACAAACGCTTTCGCGAGAAACTCATGACGTCATATTGAACATAGTTCGACGGAAGCATGGACGCAGCTTCTAGCCAGCATTAAAACTCATGACGTAACCGACAAACTATGGTTCGTCCTTGGATGAACTACATTCGTCGCGAAAATTCGGTTCTTGAAACCAGTGAACTCTGCGAAACCCACAGGCAATGATCACGCAGTTGTCAACCTAACCCAACGCGTTCTGACCAATTGGGAAACCATCAGTGTTCTAAGAAAAGGAGGCAATTTTGCAATAACACCGAAAGACCTGCCATTCGAAGACATCATAGCAAATATGGAAGCCAGCATACGCACATTACCTCAAACCACTGCGGAGGAAATACGCAATGAAACCTCTAGGATTCTACGACTTGCGAAACCTCCAAAGTGCAACCTGACATACGAGGAAAGGAAAGCTATTCGCAGCCTGAATATAGACAAAGAACATATTAGTCCTGCCTGCGGATAGAGGAAACGCAACGGTAATCATGAACGTGACCGACTATGAATAAAAATTTCCGAACAGCTAGACCCCTCCATCTACAGAAAGCTGAAGCGCAATCCCACTGCTTCTATATTGCGAAAAACCAATCAACTCGTCCGAGGACTACCGTTGGACTCGGAAAACATAAGAAAACTCATCAAATCTGAGGCCTTACCACCTAGAATATATGGGCTTCCTAAGATTCACAAAACAGGCAACCCACTCAAGCCCATTGTAAGTGCAATCGATTCGCCTACATACAGCATAGCCAATACCTCACCACCCTCCTTCAGCCACGGATTGGCCAATCCAGCTCTCATGTTAAAGAATCAACTCATTTCATAAAAAAGATCAGTGACATCACACTACTACCAAACGACATTCTGGTTAGTTTGGGTTAGTTTATTAAGGTACCAGTGAATCAGGCCTTAGAGTATCTGAAAGATGTTTTTACGGAGGAAATCAGCAACTTATTTTACCACTGTCTAACGACTACGTACTTTCAATGGCAAAATGAATTATTTGAGCAGACAGATGGAGTGGCAATGGGGAGTTCACTCAGCCCCGTTATCGCCAACTTCAACATGGAACACTTCGAACCAATGGCACTGCGAACGGCCACAAAGAAACCTACTTGTTGGTTCCGCTATGTAGATGACACATTTGTTGTTTGGAACCATGGAGAGGCAGAGCTCGAAAACTTCCTCAATCATCTAAACTCAATAGAACCCAGGATACAGAAAGACCTATCTACAAACCCACAAAAACAATTCAGCAAAGTCTAAGATCGGCCATGGATCCTAGGTCACCTCTTGAAACGGCTGGCGTTTATAGAATTCCCTGCTCTTGTGGATATGTCTATGTAGGAACAACGAAACGCTCTATCAACACCAGGGTCAAAGAGCACAAAAGAAACTGTCAGCAGGGACAAATAGATAGATCAGCAATCGCCGAACACGTGCTCACACAAACAAACCATGTCATTCGTTTCGACCAGACTCAAGCATTGGATACAACCAAACATTTTTACACCAGACTCCACAGAGAAGCCATACAGATACAGAAATAACACAACAACTTCAATAGAAAAGAAGAGGGTATGAACCTCAACAAAAGCTGGTTGCCAGTCCAGTTCTCCGAAAAACAAAGACCTTTCCTTTCCGAGAACGAGACAAGGAAAATAGCGTAGTACAAGCCACGCCCACAATCCTGGATATAAATAATGTAGGTCCAACAAAGTCGAATCCAGTCATCGGAGGAACACGGAAGAGAACACTTCTTCCGCTACCATACCGCCTCTGAAGATGTCTACCGCAGAAGTAGACAAAACGTTAGGTAGAAATACTAATGGACCACGGCATTATAGCCCGGAAAAAACTTTCTTATTATTAATTAAGAGCCGCGAATAATCAAAAATTGAACATCAATCAATTTTGATGCCATTTTGTAGATTCCTATTGATATAAGACAATTAAACATTGAGAAGAAAATGGAGGAATTATAATAGAACATTTCATAAAAGAGCTACTATTGAAAAATTTAATGATTGAATCAAGAGCCAAGAATAATCAAGAATTGAACATGTTTCAATTTTGTAACTTTCTATTGACATAAAACCATTATACATTGAGAAGAAAATGGTGACTAAAACCTCCATTACTTTAGATGATAAACAGGTGAAATCACTGAAAATCTATAAATAATGTCTCCTTTCCTTACCTTTGCTTAATTTAAATGTAAATATTGCTCTGTAAATCGTTGGATTGTCTTCTAATCGGTAGTTAATCCTGCAACAAAAAAAATGAACAATAAATTATTTAAACTTTGGATAAGTTGCTTACTCATGGCATTATTTCAACCTTGAATAAAAAGAATTTATCTGTCAATAAATTCAATACCATACATGGTAGTGCTTTAGAATAAAGCATAAATGAATAACAATGGGTCGGTGGATAAAAATTTGATTAAAAATTGTTAAGGTGGTACTACTAAAAACGAACCAAATCGAGGTGATTTCGCGAGTCCAAAGTACTACCTAAGCGATTTAAAAATTTTTTCGAGTTCAATCAATCAGCAAACTTCACACTTAAAAATACACAAATTTTAAGATCAAGTGGAGTAAATATTGATAAAAAAAAAATGTTTCCATTATTATTTGCAATTTATATAATGGGTGTTTTACTAAAATAATAATAATTAGTGCTGTGCGACATTTTTCCAATAAGGAATCAAAAGGTTTCCGTAGCAAGTTTAAAAGGAATCTAAACAATAATGGCAAGTTTAGTGGAAACAGAAAAAAATCAAAGTCAAACAGGTAAGTGAATAATCAAAGCTCAATAAAAACCAATTTATCAAAAAATTATTCATGACTCGAATTCCAGGTTCGAAATGGCTCAAAACCCGTCACATCCAAATCGGCCTACTGTTCACTTGTGCCACCATCATGTTCGGCATAAGGCAAGTCCTTTCTGTAGCAATTGTGCCTATGACTTCAGCTGACATTTCTAGCAACCCTAAAATACCAGTAGGTATATATAACGTTTCAATTTATGTTGCTATTAATAATAATTTTTAGTACTACCATTGGACAAATTCCAGCATAGTTTTGTCCTCATTCTACTGGAGCTACGCGTGCCTGCAACTTTTTGCAGGCAAATTAATACATGTTTTTGGTACCAAGATGCTGTTGCTTGTTGCCATGCTTGCAAATGCTTTAACAATGCTTTTGGTAACTTCTTTTAATTATTCAAACTTATTAAGTTTTATTTAGATTCCAGTTATAGCAGCCTATCTTGGTTCTAATGGAGTAATAGCAATGCTCATAATACAAGGCTTGTTTCAAAGCTTCTTGTTACCAAGCATCAGTGGAATGTTAGGCAGATGGATACCGCCTACGGAACTATCAACTTCCACAGCCATCGTGTATTCAAGTGAATTAGCTTATTAGTGCTAATATTTTCAAAACTTGACTTATTTTAGGTGTCTACTTCGGTTTTATAATTGCTACAATAATAACTGGATACTTGTCAGCTTCTCAGTGGGGCTGGCCAGCATCGTTTTATTTATTTGGAGCTTTGGCGTTTGTTTGGTGCCTGTTTTGGTGGTTCTATGGCGCAGAAACACCAGCAAGTCATTCGAAAATTTCGATGGAAGAACGAAATTATATCGAGCATTCGTTGAGCCAGCAAAACGACCACTTGGTAAAATAATTTTGGTATGAGAAATAAGATTTTTATTGTGACATATTGTAGGTCAACCAAAAATCCATACCGTGGATGGACATTTTCAAGTCGCTGCCTTATTGGGCTATTATTTTAGCTTCGATTGGCGAATCATGGTCTTCGACTTTCTTTTCGACAGAACTACCCAGTTACTTGAGCTACGGAGTAGGACTTGATATAAAAAATGTAAGTAGTTATTTGCTTACTGGTAGGATTGGTAAGACCGAGTGCATCAATGAAAATCTAAGGATTTTGTAATGATTCCAGGAGCTACTAGCATTTGTAAAAATGTTTACCATATTGGTAATCTCTTTCGCAACCCACCTCTAAAACTGAGTACTTGAAGTACATCTCCTTCTTTGTTTCACTCATTTATAACCGCATTTGTTGTTTTTGCAAACGTATTCTACCTTATCTACTTCTTTGTCTTACTATTTTTGCTAAAAATACAATCAAATTAACATTAAAAATGAAATTTGTTTGTTGGAAAAAGAGGAAAAACATTCTATTTGAGATTGTAAATGTGGCAACGTTGTTTTCGATCAAGTAGGCCTTGTAATGTAATGTCATTTGCCACTTTTGACAGCCGAGTGTTTTTATCCAACTTTTCCTTGAATTTTCCGGTTTTTCAAGGATTTTTCAATCAAAAAAACTTTTGTTTAAAGTACAAGGCTTTGAGTTTCCTTCATTTTCTGACAAAAATTTCCAGTTTTCCAACGAGGTAAGTGACTAGAACCTTGGTTTGATCAAGTAGGCTTCAGAATGTTGGTTTTCCATTGAATTTTCCACTTTTCCAAGGCTTCTTTAATCGGAGAAAGACTATTTTGAGTTGGGGGCTTTAAATTTTTCAGGAAAAAAATTCCATTTTTAGACTTAAATAGTATCCTACTTTATCTCTCTCTTTGTCTTACTCACTATCAAATTATTAGTCGGCCATTTTGAAGTGTCGTGTTTACATTTTTATCCAGATTTTCCTCAAATTTTCCACTTTTTTATAGGGTTTTTTCAGTCGAAAAAACTGGTTTAAAGTACGAAGCTTCGAGTTTTCTCCATTTTCTGCTAGAAATTTCCAGTTTTAAATCCATTAATTTACGGTCAAAAGGTAAGTGAGAAAAAAATATTGAAAAGCAAGTTTTTGAGGCCTTATTCAAGGAATTTCTAATTTTAAAATCGTTAATAATTAATTATTAAACCGGTTTTTAATTATTAAATTACAAGTAGAATCCCATTTTAAATGATTTTTTTGGATGTTTTGTGATGTGGCAACACCGCTTGTAGCCAACTTCAAGTAGACCTTGTAATAATTGTCATTTGCCATTTTTGACAGTCGGCCATTTTCAATTGACGAGTTTACATTTTTATCCAAATTTTCCAGGCCGTTTTCAATCGGGAAAGCTGTTTTAAAGTTCGAGGCTTTGAATTTTCTCCATTTTCCACCAAAAATTTCCAGTTTTCCAAGTGACCAAAATTTTGATTTTTCAAGTAGGCTTTATAATGTGGGTTTTCCATTGAATTTTCTACTTTTGCAGGGATTTTTCAATTAGAAAAAGATGATTTTGAAGGCAGGGCTTTGAATTTGCTTCATTTTTCCACCAAAAACTCCTGTTTTTAGACTTAAATTGTTTCCTACTTTATCTTCCTCTTTGTCTTATTTACTATTAAAAGCAGGCCTCGGAATGTCATTTTTATTCAAATGTATCAAAGATAAGATTCCAATGCATTATTTTCGGAATTTATCATTTCATAAACATAAATAATTAATTATTTAAACAAAAAAACTATTTAAAATGTAATTTTTTCCTATTTGAGATGTGGCAACGTCGCACAATGTTATTTCCTAGTTTTCACAGTCGGTCATTTTTGAATGTTTTTATCCAGTTTTTCCTCGAATTTTCCGCTTTTCCATGCCGTTTTTAATTGGGAAAACCGATAGATAAGACGATACTATGAATTTTCTTCATTTTTTGCCAAAAATTGCCAGTTTTTCAATGAGGTAAGTGACAAAAACTCAAGTTTTATTAAGTAGACTCTGGATTGTCATTTTTAGGGGATTTTCTTTGGATTTTCCGTTTTTCCAGTGCTTTTTTGATCGGAAAAACCGATTTAAAGTACGAGGCTTTGAGTTTTCTTCATTTTCATCCAAAAATTTCTAGTTTTAAATACTAAAATTAGGGGTAGATAAGGTTTTTCTGCTTCTTTTAAAAAAAGTGAGCACTTGAATTACATCCTACTTTATCTTAAAAAAAAGGGGGCTCTACAAACAAAAAAGAAACAAACGCCATTTTGAATTAATTGTCAAAAATTACAATGCCTACTTTGACTTTGACATGTCAAATTTTTTGACGTTTGCGTCAGGGTTGCTGATTTTTGTGCCAGGGTTGCTACATTTTTTCGTCCCTGTGGGCCGATTTTTCCATATCGATCACCTCCGGGTTTGTTTTATTGATATATTATGTAGATCACAACCTACCAAGTATTGGTAAGACTTCTCAGACTATTCTTCTGCACCATGGCCTGGTTACCTAAGCCAGTCTTGTAGATTGTGATGGTTGAGGTGTTCAGGTTATGGATCTGATTAGATCTAATGTGCTTCCCATTATATCTAGTGGATTCCCAGATTAAGCCTATAATATTCCTGGGATTGGCTCCGAATAGATGTCATTATACCTCACAATTGCAAAGTATGTGTTTCCCAGACCCAGAGGCTTTTTCATAGAGGCTCGGCGTAGGTCTGATTTTGTTTTGTCCATCTTTTCCAAGTGGTAACTCAGGAGGTCTGTAAGGAGCCTTGGATTCGCTTTAGTAAGGTCAATCATTTCCTTTGCCTTAATTGACTGGAGCGAGAATTGTATTGCCTGTCTTCAGATAAACTTGCTGGTAACTATCTGCAAGATAAATGTACCATTTTATAATTCTATTGGTCGGCGGATAACTGGTCGGATTATGGATTGCGTTTTATTCGACAAATTGCATACCTGACAGTTTATCAGAAGGTGAATAAACCGGCCCTCAGTCTTAGAAACGTATTCCTTGAGCTTTTACCCAATTCTAGACTTCTATCATATGGCTTTTCGTATTGCCAAAACAAGGTTGTGGTCCAATGATAGGTGTTGGAGCTCCTTGTCTTGCAAGTTGGTCCGATATACCACCCTCAACTCTTTGGTGCCCTAATATCCATGACAAGGTGACTCCAATTGCTTTAGCTGTTGGCAGTCCCATACCAGTCTGGACTTTAGTGACAGAGCTCTTAAGGCCGAATTTATAGTAGTTTCTTGAGTGTTCCTTGGAGGTCGTGAGTTTAGAATGTTACTATTTGAGAAGTTTGGTCATGTCAATTCTAAACGTTCAAGGCTTCCTTAAGGTCTGAGAAAACCTTAGGAAGCGATTTGATGTTGGAATTGATACAAGGTTGTTTGAGAGAGGTAGGTTGCCTGATAACTTTATTGACGTCATCTGGGACGCCTCAACATATTGCAAATCTCCATAAGGCACCCCGGATGACGTCATCAAGTTACCCATTACCAGACAACCTATTAACTTTGGCAACCTTAGAATTGATGTAGATCTTCGCTATTCGCAGGTCTGTCTCACGCATGTTCAGTATGTGACTATAGCCCAGTTGGTTACTCTCCTGAAATGTTGGTTCCCATGCCTGGATTAAGGAGGGGGCTAAAGGGGCTAAAGGGGCTAAAGGTGCTAAAGGGGCTAAACGGGCTAAAGGGGCTAAAGGGGCTAAAGGGGCGGGGTTTTCCATTTAAAAAAGTATAACTTTGCTTTGCCACACTCCTATGGTACACTCTGTATACTTGTAATATAACATCATTGAAAACTTTCTGATATTACCTACAACTTTCACATTTGACATTTCTGGGTATCTCTTCAAACAGGTGATAGGTGTGGGTGCAAATATAGACAATCACCCGGTATACTATTTTAAGAATTTATTTGTCAATATACCTATAACCAAATGTGAGTCAGAACGTTCTTTTTCAAAACTGGCTTACATCGAAAATAAATATAGAACAACAATGCATAAGGAACACCTGTTTTCATAACATTTATGTGCAGAAATAGACGTTCTGAAGGAATTAGAATTTAGGTACTGATATCATACAAGAATTTGTTAAACTTAAGTTACGAAAAAAGATATTTTGACTTATTTTTGTAAAACATGTACCTAGGTATAGCAGCGTCTTCTGTTATATCAGGAATATAGTTTTTTTATATATTTTCTTATTGCACTTAATTTATGAAGGGCCCCCTAAAACCTCACTAGCCCCGGGCCCCATCAAAGTCATGTTGGTTCCAAGTAAGCTTCTGATCCAAGATGACTCCCAGATCTTTAAACTCGCTTGCGAAGTTGTTTTGGAATGCATACCACATTCACATCAAGCTCACTGTGTTGCTAACGCTAATTCTCCCAAATCTTGTTGTAGGAGGGCAGGAAAGATCCCATATTTACCACAAGCTAATCTTACCAATCCTACCAGCAATTGGTTTACCAAGCAAGTAGAAGGCTTTGATTACCAACATCTAGTTTTTTTTTTCAGTCCAGTCTTTTTACATCAGTTCCCCAAATCGCAGGCCTAATAGGTTCTTGGTGCTTCGGCCCTATATCATCGCTAATAGCACGAAAAAATTGGCTCAGCACGGGAAATTCTAGAAGAGTCTTCTACGCAATCGGCATGACGACTCCAGTAGCTCTTTTGGCACTCTCGTACATAGAAAACAAGACAGCTATAGCTGTCATTTTAATTACGGCCTATACAGCTAGCTCAGCTATATTTTGCGGGCACTTGGTGAACCCTATTGACTTGTCACCCAGATTTGCCAGTGCTATTTCGGGCATTGCTAACGGGTTGGGTCAGCTGGTGGCCATTTTGGCTCCTTTACTGGTGCATTTCATGGTTCCGGATAAGGTAATATTATTTTTTTTTGAATGTTTCTAAATATATAATAATATTATAATTGTTGCTTTCAAGACTGACAAATCTGAGTGGAGGCACACTTTTATACTAGCCTCCTGTGTAACGTTATCTACGGGCGGTTTTTTCCTTATCTTTTGCTCTGGAGAGAGGCAACCGTGGGATGATTTCAATACTAAATCAGTGGAAGAGGCTAAGAAGGATGACCCGGAATTCAATGGAGTATCGAATCAAGCCTATGTTTATTAATTTTTAAAGTTATTGGCTATAAAAGAAAACACTGAAAGGATTCATTATTGTAAAAGTAGCACGACACTATAAAAAGAAACCAAATTGCCTTTTAAAATGTTTTCCTATGAGGGTTTTTGTTGACGATGCAATCGATATCTTTTTGTCAAGAGTTTGAAATAAATTTTTGTGCTTTAAGTGACTGTCTTTTATTGAAAATCTATTTTAGATATTGTACAGTAAAATTTAAAATAGGTAAATCCAGTGAAGCAAGTTTTGTCTATTCCCGGCTTTTGAATTTCTCAATTCTAAAGCCCTTACACAGCACTCAATGTTGATGTCCTACAAATTATGCAAATGCTATTATAGTAGAGATAAACTTGTCACATTTAAATTATTTGTTAACATGCATTGTGTCTTTGTAAAATAATTATCTATTATCAAATAGTCAACTTTCTATAAATACACAACAACAATAATTTAAATAGCATTTTTTTTACTACTAGACATTATAATACTCGGCCTTATCTTTTAACCTTAAATTATCTTTAGTACCGCCACATGACTGGGAACTGGGTACGAGAAAGTTATAACAAATTCAAAACAAATCAAGAATTTACTTGGTTTGTATTGAATTTCTCTCGTGCACAATAATCGTCATACTTTTGATTACAAATTGTAAAAAATGTCAAAGTCATACAAATAAGGTGTTCAGTACAATATGGATTTGGATAGTAAACGACCGAGATGTTGTCGTAAGTAGCACTTATTAAGATAAGAAATTATTGTCCATCTATAATCAATAGAAATCACAATAATTAAAATGAATCACTATTCCAGAGTAAATGCTAACACAAGTAATTATTATTATTTTTTTTTAATCGTCCATCCAATTTCAACCATTGACAATTAACTTATCATGTGTTACTACAGAAACGACGCCAGCGACGAACATAATTTCAGCATCATGGATCAGAATCAGATACGTGCAAATGACGTTGCTATTTTTCCTAATGACAGTATCCTATGCCATCAGGACCAATCTTTCTGTAGCTATTGTAGCTATGGTCACTACAGACACTTCAAGTAATAATGATGTTCCAGTGAGTATAGTTTTTCAATCAATAATGGTATAATTTAAAAAAATTACCTTCAAGACATTTTCCTGGACAAATATTGGTATAATATTATCTTCCTTCTACTGGAGCTACGCAATATTGCAATTTTTCGCCGGTCCCATAGCTCAAACATTCTCACCAAGATGGATCCTGTTTATAGTCACATTAATATTTTCCGGATGTTGCCTCCTAATCCCAATAATGAGCGTCCAATTCGGATCAGCTGGAGTGATTGCGTGTAGAGTTATCCAAGGTTTAGCCCAAGGCTTCATTCTACCATTGACCCACAACATGTTGGGCAAATGGGCGCCGACCGAAGAACGATCCTGGATAAATACCAGCGTCTATTCCGGATGCAGTTTTGGTACTATAATATCTATGCCGATAACAGGCTATTTGTCTTCGTCTAAATTTGGTTGGCCAGCTTCGTTTTATCTATTTGGAGGTTTAGGGGTTGCTTGGTGCTGCTTCTGGATAATATTCAGTGCTGACAGGCCTAGTACTCATAAAACTATAACGTTGGAGGAGCGAAAGTACATCGAGAGCTCACTGGGACAAGATCAAGAGGAATATGTGGATGTAAGTTTTATAGTTCAATTGCTTATAGGTAATTTGTTTGTGATTAATTTTAGGATGTCAAAGTGCCTTGGAAAGCCATTATGACGTCGCTGCCTTACTGGGCCATTATTTTTGGTGCTGTTGGTGAATCTTGGGGTGGAACTTTTTTGGTTACGGAAATACCTACTTACCTTAGTAAAGTGACCGATATCGACATTGAAGAAGTAAGAATTTTAGTATTTAATAACACATTTACAGTCTGGAGTCGGTTACACTTACAGTTGTTGGGAAAGATGTGGATGATTCTTAAGACATTCACTGGAAAATCATCAAAGAACCTTTTGCAATGATAGAAGCTCAAATGAATAATTTATGGTTGTAGAATGTAGAGGTTGAAAAAGAAGACATTACCATATGAGATTCTTTCTAATGACTAATGTGGATGTTGTTTTTATCCAATCTCCTCAACAAATTGGACGAGAAATTTAATGTTAATTCTTAATTTTTGTTGAATAAGAATACCTACTTACAAATGCTTCAGCTAGTTGATGATGGAAAGTTTGTAGGTACTTTTCATGAAGATGATAAAAAGTTAAACTTGTGTAAGGTTTGCTGATCGCTACTACTTTTGAGAAAAAGCTTGTCAATTGACGACACTGTAACCAAATTTTCGCCACGAACTACTTCCATGATTTCATGAACATAAACGATTTCGCGAGAAACTTGTGACGTCATTTTAAATGTAGTTCGTCGGAAGCATGGACGCAGCGTCTAGACAACTCATGACGTCACCGGATGGACTATGGTTCGTCCTTGAATGAACTACATTCGTCGCGAAAATTCGGTTATATTCTGACATCAATGTTGACAGTCTGTTTTTCATTGCATCAACAGCAACTACTCCTTTGTAGAACTTTTGAGTACACTGCGTCTCAGGAAGGTCTTCTATTCGATATCTGTCATTTAACATAAGTTCCTTCATATTTCTCCAATAGTTTCTTTGATTCGCCTGTAGGTGGATTTTATTGTTTTCTATCTAAGAAAGATCTCCTGCAATGTAGTTTGTCCCTTTTGCTCTTCCTTTATTAAATCTCTCTCTCTACTTCTCTTGATCTTTTCTAATCTTTTCTAATGCATCTTTGTCTTCGATCTTCTATATCTCCACCAAACTCTTGATTCTCTAGCTCATCTTGTATGACGTCACCCTATATATTATGTCTTGGTTTGAAACTAAATAATAACTCAAAAGGTGTTCTTTCTGTAGCTCTGTGCAAAGTATTAATAATTGCATACTGAATTCTACCAACATATTTATCCCAATCTTCACCATCTCGACTTCTACACATACTTGCTAGTGCTGGAATCAAATATCCATTTACTCGTTCTATTTGTTCGTTTGCTCGTGGAGTTGACGTAGCATTTAAAATATGACTAATCTTTTTGTCTTTGCATAAGTTCTTGAACAGAGTTCCAGAAAATGAAGTACCTCTATCTGTAATAATTTTGTGTGATGGACCTACTATATTCATTACTTATTTCTTCTAAGTCTTTTGCAGGAATCACAAAGACAGCACATAATTTCTTAGGTTTTAATTTACTTCTTTATCTGTGTTGTTGGATGGAAAAAAAATGGAAAAAATGATACTTGTATAAATTGAACTCTGAAAAACAAAATAACAATTATTCAACTGACCTTTGATGGCTCCTTGACACACACACTAATCACAAATTGGATTGAACAATTAGTTTAATACAAAATAAAAATAAAATTGAATATTGAATAATGGCGGACAAAACCTTAAGGGACCAACCCAGAGCTCCGCTGCTTCTCTAGTCTAGTCGCGTATTCCCTTCTGTCTCCCGTTCGCAGTACCGTTCCTTGTGGCTCGAACGCGGTGCATACATGGTTGCAACATTTACCTTTATTCATTAAGGGTATTTTAAAAAATTAAGATTCAAAGAAATAATATTTTAAATAGGTGGTTTTCCTCAGTATACTCCCAATCTCTCCAATACCCAAACTAAGCACAAAGTTTCTAATTCTGATGAATGATATTTCTGTTCTTTGGGTGTAGTTTGTTTACTCAAATATACTACAAGGTGCATCAGATCATCTGCCTGTCTCTGAAGAATTATACCTCCAAATCCAATTCAGCTGGCATTTATGTGTACCTCTGTGAACGCTCCGGGCTTATTTAATGCCAAAACATCAGCCTCAGTTAGCTCTTTCTTCAATTGGTCGAATGCCAGCTGCTGCTCTGCATCCCATTTGAATTCCACATCTTTAGAAAGCAAATGTGTTAAGGGTTTGGCCTTTATCACGTAATTACGGATAAATCGATGGAAATATGAGGAAAGTCTCAAGAATTGTCTGACATTAGTCACACTTTTAGGTTCAGGAAAGTCTAAAATACACGTTGATTTTTCGCTACCCGGTTTAATCCCGTGTGACGAATGACGATATTTCAAAACCCAAGTAATCTATAATTTCGAAAAGGAAATAAGTAACATTTCTTTAAATTTGTCTTCAAGTTCGCACCCCTCAAAACTTTGAGTATTTCCTCTAAATTTTCAAGTCCTTGATCAAAAGCAGGTCATCCATATACCATCGCTATGGTATAAGGTGAAGGTCCGAGTACACTATTTATTAATTTTTGAAACACTGCCGGTCCATTAACAACCCCAAAGGGCATGCGCGTAAATTCAAACATACAATCTGGCGTCACGAACGCGATTTTACGCTGTGAGTCTTTTTCAACGAGAATTTAATAGTAACAGGTCTAATGCTAATATAGTGAAATATTTCATTTAGAGGGAGTTGAGGATTGATTCTGGTAGCAATATTTCAAGATGTGTCCATATTTCTTGCATTTGAAGCAAAGGTATTCAACATTTCTAGGTGGTAAGTATCTCGAAGAGTGCTGTTGACCCTCTACTCTGGTATTACTAGTTTTTCGTAGTGTCTCAGCTGATACTCAATGTTTGAAGTGCCTGTGGTTCTGCTTCTCCCTTGTTTTTTGAGCATTATTCATGTTTTCCTTGTTCAAGTTAGTTCTATCGAAGTTACCTCTTTGAATGCCAGTAAAACGCTGCAGACGCCTACTTTCAATGTCTGCGTAGTCTTGAAATAATGAATCTGTGTTATAATGCCTTTTTGCTCACATTGCATTTCTAGGCCTAAATCCGTACATAACTTTACTTTCTGTTGCGAAAATAACCCACAACAGGTTTAATTTTTATTATTTCTAATTTAATATATCTCAATTTTTATTATTTGCCATAAAAATAAAATTCCAAAAATAGATGCTATTGCTGGACTATTTATCCTGTAAAACCAGCAACAACAACCCTTTGAACCAACAAAATTACAGGTTGCTTCATTACCTTATAAGGCAGTGGATCTTTCTCGCTCTGTGATTGGTCAGCCGCCACATTGTTTTCTAGATTTTTGCGACCTGCTCCCCTGGCAGAGTCTAGTCAACGCACATTCTTCAGTACTATTAGAACAAGCGAAAAGTTCGCACCCTCGCGCCCTCTGAATGCTCTCCAGAGGAAAAAACCCCCGTTAATACGCGCGAATTATAGTAAAATTCCACTCTCTGTGTCTCAAGGCCTGATATATTATTATTGATATCAATTCATGTAATTAACCCCTAATTGTTGCAAGTCACCTCAGACGAGCAAAATTCTCTCCTACGCTTGTTTTTGGCTCTATCTCTCTCACTCTCGACGGGCTCCAACGCACCTGTATATCGTTGCGTTTTCTTTTCATCTCAGTGGAAAATTCCCTAGCTGCCAGTGTGAATAGTGGTGATAAATGGATAAATAATCGCCTTGTGGATTTATCTACATGAACCAAATTAGGCAAGTAAGACCGTTACAATTTCTCTAATAGTCGAACAATAAATACTGATTAGTGATTCGCTTGAAATGCATTATAAATTGAGGTGTTTTCTAACGTTTAATGCTTTGGTTTCCACACTCGTGAAATTAACATTTGTACATTTGTATACAGAAACTGAGCATATATAAAGACTTTTCTTGCACATATTGTTTACAGACTTCAGCAGAAAAGTCCTCAAATTATTAACTCTCAATAAATAAAAGAACTTTCAAGGATCAATAAACATTAGCATCCAGAGGTCCTCACATTTGTAAGTTCTTTGATGAAGAAAAGGATGTATTAGTTATAAAGTTTAAAAATGTTTTACACAGATGATTTTTCTACACAATTCAAAAGCCCAAAAGTAAATATATATTGTTTTTAATTCTAGAATGGTCTCTATTCATCTGCACCTTATGTGGTAGCTGCAGTTCTCACAGTAATGTACGGACCTTTAGCAGATTACTTAATCCAAGCTGGCATAACATCCAGAAAAACCTCTAGAAGACTATTCCATGGAATTGGTGTGGATTTACCTAAGACATTGAGATTTTCTAATCCAGCTATTTCTAGGTTCATTTATTCCTGCCGGTGCTCTAATATGGCTCGCCTACGAAGAAAGTCCAGCTGGCATAGCGATTTTACTGATCGTAGCCGTAAGTCTGAACGGCGCCATGTTTTGCGGACACAACGTGAACCACATCGACGTATCGCCACGATTTTCCGGAGTTTTATTTGGAATTTCTAACGGCATTGGACAGACTTTGGCGATTTTAGCTCCGTTGCTTGTCCAGTTTGTCGTTTATGACGAGGTAAGAACATTTCTTAATTGAGCGATATATTTTACCCCTTATTCCATTATTTGGTGGACTGTCTGCTTTGAGAGTTCTCGGTGGGGGACCTGCAATTCATAGTTAAGTTTCATTGTAAATGAAAATTTATTTTTCAAATTTTTGAATGGAAAGCAGGCATTTAGGGTATCCTCATTTTCATCAGCTGTCTTCACTCGATGCCCTATCTCACGAACTATAAACTTCGAGCTAGGTAAATAGTTGTCAGTGGGAAGTTGGCACTCAGTAGGATTAAATTTAATAATGAATAATATTCCAAGTTGACGACGTCCAATGTTGGCAAGACAGTTTTATTAAGGCAAAGTGTTGCATCTCAAAAAGTTTACGACGTTAGACAAAGTAATAGTCAACAGATGACGTCTGTAATAAATGTTTGCCTTGCATTTGAGAAATTTCATTAGAATATATTTAAGAGGCATTTGAAAGAAAGGTTTACAACTAAAATCCATTTTTTTTTCTCTCTATATAGACTGACAAATCCTTATGGAGGACAATGTTCGTTATAGCGGCAATTATTTATGCCGGAACGGCCGTATTTTTCATTTTGTACTCGTCGGCCGAACGACAATGGTGGGACAAAGTCCCGGCAGCTAAATCCAGGAAAATGGATCGTCCAGCCAGGAAAACGGATCGTCCTTCGGAGGATGCGGAGGAAATTGAGAGACTGTGAGACTTTTGTGTTGTTTTGTAAAGAAATAGAAATAATAAATAAAACTACGAATTTTTTGTAAATTTGAAATATAAATTCTCAAGTTTTTTTTGTAAAAATATTATTAAAAATTACAATCCTTTTAGAAATTTACAGAAATGAAATTACAGAGTTTATGTAATTTTACAATAGCGTTGTAATTTTACTTACAAAATCATTGGTTATTTTTTGCCAGTGATTTTGTAAGTAAATTTACAAAATAATTTTTTCAGTGTACTGTTTTAACAACAGAAATCAAAAGTTCATTAATTTTTGCGCCAGTTTGGTTATTAGGCTTTTTTTCGTATCTTCAGTAATAAGGGTGGGGGAAGCTGGTGAAATTTTTTTTTTAGAAATTGCTGTATCTTCCATACCCCTCATTCAAACTCATTCAATTTGGGTTTATTTGGAAGAGAATTTCATTATTATTAAGAACACCACTTCGTTCGAGGTCGATAGTTCCCACCGCGTCTGCTAGAGGGCGCTATTTATTCAAGATCCAGTTTTTCCTAATTTTCATGAAAAATCCAAATGGCATAATATTATTTTTGTATTGCTGTGCTTAAAGAGCAAAAAAATATCTACATTTTGACGCAAACCGCAATTCAATATCTGCATTGGTTTTCAAGTTACGTGAGGTCTATGGTCTCCATAATATCGTACCTGGTCGACCTTAGTGGGACACCCGTACAGTCTCCTATGAAATTAATAATTTGGAAAAAAGCTAATTGAATTTTTACCGCAATCTCCGTTACAAAAAGCTTTATTATTTTATACAAAATTTCTGAGAGGAAGAATTTTGAGCTTTGCTAGATCCCTATTCACAAGGAAGTTTTCTTAGCCCAGAAGAAATTATTGATGCCTTAGATTTTATAAGTGACCTTGCTTCAAAACTAAAATTAGACATCACTCGCCTCAGAAATGAACTGGCAGATTATAGAGACAGACAAGGTCTCTGGGGAAAACAATTTTTGTGGAGAGAAACAAATAAGGTAACTCCTCTAATATGGTGGAGAAATTTACGAGGAACCAATCTCTAAATAACAAGTGCTCCTCTGACAAAGCCAAATATTGCCTTGGCGTCGTCTGGTAAGTATTAATCCTCGCTAAAACCGTCTGGCACTAGGTGCGTTCAATTCGCAATTTTTTTCTGTTCAATTAAAAAAAAAACAAGGTTTCGGCAAGTATTTCGAAAATTTAATTTATTTTTTTCACTTTGGGGGTGTCTGGCAAGGCTTTAATCCCGTAAAAACCGTCTGGCATTATCACAGCCTTGTTAATGGCGCATTTTTGAATGATATCCCGCAAAAATTGACCATCGGCAAATATTTCGAATTTCGCGAATTTTTTAATGACTTATTAATTGTGCCCACGCTAAACTTCCCCACCACATGCTGCCAGACTATGGTTTTCGATCAAGAGGCATAATACTACATCGTTTAAGCAAGAAATTGTCCATCGGCAACTTTTTACGGAAAAATATTCACTGGCTCTTAGACTATAAAGGCTGTAGGTGGGGTGTCGATATAGAGGGTGTTCCGAAACTATTGTGCCAAAATTTAAGGGATCATAAATCTCGCCAAAATAAACGTTTTTTCCTTATAAACCCATAGGCGCATGCGCTTTGGTTAGGTAATAATAGCACATTACAGTTCTCGCTATGGTAGCCACCTTGCGCACAGAGAAACGTGTTTGAGGCAGAATCTGTGTTAATAAATAATACAAAACCTAAGGAATGCTTGCAGAATTTATTGAAAAACATCAAAAGATGCTCAAAATTACAACCACCCGTCTCAATGCATGAGCGACAGCGCCGTAGCAGAAACATCGAGTAGACTTCTGCAAGAAACCCTTCCCGAACTGTCAGAACCTCTTCCGCTGTATGCCAGACAAAACATGGTGGTACCTACATGACGAAGCTGCTCCACCACATTACTCGTTTGCCGTTAGGCTGAGGACACAATGACAAATACAAGGTACAAGTGACAAGAGACAAAAATATAATAGCCCGTGTATCAATGCTATTACTCAGAATAAATGGATACAGGATACAATTTACTGGCCAAGCCACGATACACGATACTACTATTCTGAGTTCAAGGTGGCTACCACAGCGCAGAGTGTCATGTGCTATTATCACCTAACCAAAGCGCATGCGCCTATAGGTTTATAAGTAAAAAACGTTGATTTTGGCAAGATCTATCATCCCTTAATTTTTGGCACAATAGTTTCGAAACACCCTGTATAAAAAAACACCCTGTACGTACCTACTTTTTCAAAAGGCCTGTTTCCGCCCCTGGTATTTGTTACCAGATGAATCAATTTATAAATAATTTCTCTTCAAGTCTGAACTACAATAAGAGATTCTATACAGCTTCAACAACAGCTTCGGAGTCATAAAATAGATAATTAAGAGCCGGTAATAATCAAAATTTGATCATCCATGGAGGATTTCAATTAATATCAACGGTAAATTCTAGAGCCAAAATTCAATTTCATTTCGATTTATCACCAGCGAAATTATATTCCCTTTAGATTAGATAGAAACGTGTGGTCATTACGTTTTATAGTCTGAAATTAAATTCCAGCTCAAGCAATAAATTTGATTATTGTATTTATAACCTTACCTAAAAGAAATATTATTGTTGTTGGCTAAATCGGTGCCGAGGGTCCAATTGAATTTGATCTGGCCGTTCCCGGATTGAATTTTGTAGTAGTCTGGACCGCAATTATTGCTTTCATTTGGAAATTTCCCAGCATTTGTAGTCTTTATCACGCAGTCCATGGCAGAACCTGGAGTTTTTCTTGTGATATGAACTGAAACAAAAATATATTCAAAAATACATAAGGCGATTTCCGGATAAATTTTCTACTCAAAATGTCGCAGCAGTTTCATATAAAATTTAGTTCAAGGAAGTCTCAGGCCGGAAGCTTTTGATATTTGAATTTTAAATTCGATGGGAATTTAAATAAGATGGTTGCTTTATGGAAAGGGCTGATAATCGTTAAGACTCTTTAGCACTTATTGTTATTGTAGCACTTTACAAAGACTAATTCATCTTGTCACCTAAGTAAATTCCATTTCAAAAACTACACGAACAAAGTAATTAATATTCGTTTGAAACTGAAAAAAGATCGCATTTGGCATCAAAATTAATCACATTTCTCGTTTCGAAAATGGTTGTTTCAGGCAGCCTAAATTAATTAATTGTTTTTTCCCTGGATTTAACTGAAAATTCACATTTTTCAACTAATGATATGAAATTGTTTTAATTCGTTGAAGCAGGAGACATTTTAGTTTCGAATTGCCGACACTTGAAAGATATTAAATTTTACTTAACGAGGCACTGGAAAGAAAAATCTGCCCTTTGAAATTGCGTCAAAAAGAAACAGTTTCCAAGCCCTATAAATAGGTTGAGAATGTAGGTTTTTATTTAATAGAAAAATTACAAGGATGTTATGTCCCCTCTAAAAACATGTCTGGACTAAGTGCAAAAATATTGAAATATAGGTCACAAACCCACCCTTATTTGTGAGGGTCCATTTTAGTTTCAATTTTTAGCCTCGAACACGCGAACGTTTAGTGTGTTTGCTTTGTTTTGTCATTTGCCAATGGAAAATATAGAATTCATCAACAATAACATGAATTATAGTAGATTCAGATATTATGTAATTTAAATTTTTAAAAATGCAAGTGTGAAGACTCCATTGAGCCTGACAATAAATCACAGATGTTATTAGTGATGTGATATAGGCAGTACAAATTCGCTATTTGCTCTTTTAGTTAAACCAAAAATGGAAATTCAGTAATCTAGTAGTAATTAACCGCCCTATTTCGAGAAAATTTCATCCGGATATTTAATCTTGCCCTAATTTTCCTTATCCAGAAAATGTACCGTTCAGAAGAAAACGACGTTAAAAGGGTGATTAAATTTTTTAGTTTAATAATTGAGCAGAAGTAAATATAAGGATAAAGGGAAAAAATATCCAGAAAATAGGGGCAAACAAAAAAGGAGTAAATTTTAGAAGTATTGAGAGAATATTGTGAAGATCTCAAAAACTGTAGTTCAAACTCGTCTTTGATGTCTTCGCATCTACTAGTTCTTCGGTTCTGTTTGGTTTGTTGGTGTTTCAGAATGAGTTTTCTCGTATACCAAGCTGCAATGCCAATGCTGAATATCCCAATGGAAGTGATGGCTACAGAATGATGATGAATATTCCGCCATACTGTGCTGCCCAACTCTGCATTCAAGAACTATTTATTACTATGGGGTCTCTTTTGGAGTAGCTGCCCAGTATTGAAATGGTAGTACTTCGTTTAAGAGTTAAAATATTCTGTTTTGCTTTGATGATACACTCCTGAAATACTTGAATAATACCTGTTGTATTTATTGCAACATCTTCCTGAACGCCGTCACAAATGACAGATATGGTTGTTGAGGAATCCGTGTTGAGTGCGCAGAGCTCTATCCATAATATGATGCTTTGAATATTGTTAATTTGAATCTTGCAATGCCTTGGTTCCGGTCGTTCATAAATTTCCTCAATGATGCATGACGGATTTGTCTCTATGTTTCCGACTGAAACTGGACAGCAGATAAAGTGGTGATCATATGACTGTATGCATTGCTGCAAATCACGTTCTTGGAGTTCGAAGTATATTTGAGTATTGTAATCAATCACAATATATTCATCTGAAGGTTTAAAGTCCAGTAGGTTCCATTTCCAGACTCTAAAGGTACTGGTGTGGCTCGTATTAACTCGAATTCAGTAATGGGGAAATATCCGAATATCTGAATGTGTGTCTTATAAGCAGTCAACTTTGTCGTTGTGATTGAGGATGCGACAATCTTCAGATTACTTGGAAACTTTTGACTGGTTTGTTCAATGATCTCTGATGATCGTATATGATGGTTCCTCTGTTAAAATGTATATCTGGTAATTTATCGCAGTATTCGTTGATATCGCTCTGTTGATAATTTTCATTAAGTGCATCTATTTCTTGATACACTTCATTGACGCCAAAGACTGCGGTAAAAATTGTCCAGATCCTCTTTTCCATCTTTGATGATGGACG